TTGCGCTTTCCTGTAACAAGTTCTCAGGACCAACCAACCAACCAACCTTAGCCATGACACAGCGTGGAGAACATGTCGTTCATCCCCGTCCCTTCTCGGCCTTCCTGGCAACCGGCTGCAGCCGGGCAGTTTCCAAGAGTGACTGAAGGCAACTGAAGGCAATAGAAATAGCATGAAAATTCTTGTGTATATATATAACCTCCTTGTGACCTATCCATAAATTTCAGCAAATCCTGTTTAGGTGCGAGCTGGAGCACAATAGCTGGAGCAACAAAATGGGCTTAAAGAATGCACTCCTTGAAAACTCCGCATGTCAGTCCATGTGGTGCCCACGAACTTGTTTGATGGATTTTTCAATTCACCGTAAACATATTATATACAGGCTCGCGTCCCTTTGGGACCTGTTGTGCTGTAGGAAAGAGGGCAATGTGTGAACATGTGTGAACATGTGTGAATAATATGAAAAGGACTTGAGCTTGAAATGCACATGTCTTACTGTACATCCTTGGGCCTTCACACTGGCCTGTCCCAACCATCCGCATTTGGGGCTTGTACTTGAACTGAACTCAGAATGGCTTGCCTGTTGTTACACTCAGAGGATCACCTATGGGCCCACTTTTTTGTGCCATACGCAGTGATTGTGGAGTGGATGTGTCGTCTGCGAATTCTGCATCTCGAGTCCCAGTCCTCTGACAAATACCACAGTGTGGCACTCAAGGCCCAGAAGGTCCCGGAGATCTCAGCACCAATTGCTTGGTTTAGACACTAAGTCAAGGTGAGATCGAAGCTGCTGCAGAACTACAGAATATCATTTTACGACCAATTGCTCCAAATCACGAGTGTCCTTATTCATCGAGGAACACTTGTGGAGCACTGTGGAGCTCCTTTTTCAGACACATGTGCATTTCAGTTTACACTTCAACTTCTAGTTTTTCAGTTTAAAAGGGCGGCCATAGAGTGCCATAGCCTGCCCTAATCCGTATAAGCTGTTCCGTTTTGCACTTTTTCTCCAGCAAAGCCATGGCGTTCTGCCGCACATCCCCCAGCAGCCCTCGGGCTCGGCCAGAGGCATTGGCAGCACTGCAGGCACGGACAGCTGAGTGGTACCTGAGAGTTTTCTAGTTTTTGTCATCTGTTAGCACAAGACACAAACATGACATCTGTTAGCCCGGATCATACAAAAGTCGTCTGTCCTTTCAATTGCCTCAATGCTCGGGACAAGCAAAGCTTGATGTGCTGGTTTGGCAATGTGTCCTGAATGTTTCACTGACATTTGCTGATTTTGGTTCAGCGGTTGCTGTTTGCACATTTTCTTGATCCGACTGTATATGTACATAGCTGAATGACAATCTGTTTCCGATGCTCCGATGCTTCTAGTCTCTGCCCTTGGTATTGGCTTAGAACTTCTTATATACAGTACATTGTATATATAGTCAAACAGATTCACTTCAAGACATCTTTCAATAGTTATCGTTTTTCTCAAATCTAGTCACTTGCAATGAAGTGTCTTGCTCGCGACTTGCCGGTGGCTCACGTGATCATGTTCCCCGTTTGACCATTACCATGCAGTTCATCCAAGAGGTACCTAGGTTCCAAATCTGTCTCATCAATTTAAGCATCACAATCAACAGATTCCTTGGTGTCCAATCAGAATCAGTTCTTGATGCTCTGAGTCTCTGAGTTCAAGGTCTTGGGTCATGTTGTGGGGACTTCAGGCCTTCAGCTGCTCAGTCATGGTCGCAACTGAGGTTAACGACAGGCTGTACAATAAATGAAGAGCGAATCAGAACAGTCGCTGTGGCCCACCAAACAATCCAAGAGGCAGCGCAACAGACCACTGCCCGGAGAATTCGCAGCCCTGAATCGCCACCTCACCCCCAAAAGGCGGACATGACCGCATTCATTCTCAAGACGGATGTACAAGGCATGTTTTTTGGGGCCCGTGGGAGCCCTTAAAGGAGAAGCTTGTTCGCTCCTAGCCACTAAGACGCTACTACATATGGACGCGGGATAGCTCACGCTTCTTCAAGGAAGCGGCGGCCGACTGGGAGCTTCCTTGAAGAAGCGCTTGCACTAATGATCTGGTTCCTATATTTTTCGTACAAAGCAAGGCATGTTCACATCAAGTCATGAATGGGTGAACTAGGCCAAACGCACAACCTCATGTATCCTGGATCATCGATCCCTTGTGTACACATGTGCACTCTATAGGTGATCTTATGAAGGAGGTGTGAGACAAATCTAGATACATAGTGCAGCACCAAACTTCTGTGACTCTTGCAATATCTTGCAATCCTGCAATTAATGACCATCAACCAGCTCGCAGTCCCCTGAACTTAGACCGAAATTGCAAAATGTGAACACTTTGAGACTTAAACTTAACATTTGACCGGCAGGATAGCACACCCTGAAAGGATTCAAGCACCCCTTGATATTCTTGCCGCCATGCTGCGCTGTATGTGATGACATTCCCGTCCAGCTGCCCCTGCGAACACGAATGAACATTTGAACATAGGCACAATCAACCGAACAAACGAAATACAAGATTTGATACCTATTTACCCCGAATATACAAGGCAAACAAGCGAGGTCGAAGGGACGTTGTGTGGTTGATCGAACATCCGATACGACACATGTTCACCAATCAAGATTATACGATTATACAGTGTAACATAGTTTCGTTTAAAAAAAAGAACACAATAAATCGTAAAAATATCTACAGGGTACGTCTCCAATTCTGTTTCTTGGACGGCTTTTGGGGTAGCCGCCATAACATTATAGTTGCTTCCATTTGCTTTCATTATGCGTTCTATTTTTTAGCTGAATTCTATAAATATGACTTCTGACTATTATGCCTCCAAAACCCTCATTTGGGGTGCAATATAAATCAAATTTGGTCTGGATGTTCTTATTAAGGATGGCCTGCTTTATATGAATTGTAAATCATATATTTATATAACATATTTTGTTCAGGACAGCATGGTTGTTCAACTGTTGACAGCAGCATCCAAACACAAGATACTACACAAAGAAGTGACACAACACCAAAAGCTACAGCCCAAACTAAGATTCAGCACCATTGCAACCTTTCTGTGTGCCATACATCCTCGCCCCATGTGGCAGTCTCACTTCTATTTTCTGAAAAGCCCTGCTATTCCCTCGAAGTGTCGTGTCATCATTGACGGTCCCGCTTGATAACTCGAGTGCTTGTCATCTGCCAAGAAATCACACCAATATCAACCTGCTCAAGCTTCTGTGCGTCTGTGGGCCAATGCAAAAGCTACGTTTTGCTACGTACTGCGTATGACACTCTGTGCTTGGGCCCCAAAAATACATATCTTCAAACAGCTATATATACAATAGATACAATATAGTAATATAATAGATACACGTCGCAGCCAAAACCGTCTTGTGCCATGTCGCCTCTTGCAGCTGCTCCAGCAAAGCTACACCCTGCTGCCAGGCCCCAGCCACCGCCACCGCACTGCAGGCAGCGTTGTACCTCAGCAAGCTTAACTTGCAAAGGTAGCAACTACCGCAGAAGTATGGCATTAGTTCTGAGCAAAAACCTGCTGCAAGTCCTTGTGAAGGGGGAGGGGAAAGGAAGACATCAGTAGTGACCTGTCCAAAATCTTTGAGACCCATTCGAATTGAACTAGACCTTCGGCTTCCCAAGAAGCCGCCGTGTGCGAACGGCTCAGGTGATTGTGACCAACCGTCATGAGAAACCTTAGTCCACTTGCCTACAACAAACCAAATTGCTGCATTGATAAGTAGGATGACACAGCTGCTGACTTGACTAATTAATTGGTGGTTTTGGCTATGTAAATCTAATCCATTGCAACACATGTTCAGGAAACATGAAGGCAGCTAGACGGAGCTAATTAATGGTTGTCAGCAAAAATTGGTTTAACAAAGTTAGTGCACCAAAAAGTTCTACGAAGTTCTGCGAAGGTTTTTAGTTTTTGTCATGGTTGGTTTTCCTACTGGCCCACCATTCCACAAAACGTCCACGAATAGCCCGGGTTCCACGAATGTCCCAAGCCTTCGGCAAAGTTAGTGGAATAGGATAGGTTTGCAAAATCCTTTCTGACCCTTCCAATTCCCTCTGCAAACATCCAACCACACCAAACAATCAGGGTTCCGAGATGACTCAATCAACTTGCCGAGACACGTAACTATGTTGGTTTCCATTTGCAGACTCAACATCTCCATCATAAGGAGCATAGCCAGCTCCCACTCCAAACCATCCTGCCATGGTAAGAGCTTCAACATTATAATGTTGCCCAGGTGGTCTCCAAAGATAGATTTGGGCCGGAAAAGAAGGATCGGAAAAGCAAGGCTAAGGATGACCATGTCTCAAAATGCCTCAGAGAGATTGAGTTTGGCAATGACCTGCAGTGATGTTTTTGGCCGTGACGTTTGCCTGAACAAGAACTGCGATGTTTGCTTTAAGATGCTCAAGTAGTTTTGTGAAAACACTAACACCAAGTCTGAAAACCCAGGCATCGGAGGCATTGACCGTCCCTAGCAGTAGCAGCTCACCAACATAGCACTGATTTTTATTTGCACTTGGCAGGCTTGGCAGGTGGCTTAGCATGTGGAATTCATAACGCCACATAACGCTTAACATATAGCATCCACAATTCTTTTGGTTAAATTTACGTACAATCAAAGGCTATACAGGCTATACAGTATATTGGCTGCGCCCATTGCCTCACATGCACTGATGGCTGCACTGTAGCTGACCACATCTGCCTGCACAATGTCATTTGTGCTTGGAACATGGTCGAGATGCTGTGCGGTGCACAATGCACAGACTTCTTTAGCAAGGCACCTCGGTTGCCAAACCACTCATCAGGCTGACAAAATCACCAAACACCGCAACTGATCACAGAACCGCCCAATCAAGCAGAGTGGGAAGGCTAGGGAAGAACGAAGAACAAAACTACTGTTCCTCTTGTGTCCCTGCATGTCGGAAGGAGCGATCACTGCTCCAGATTGGCGAGCCTCCAACTCAAGGTTGGCCAAATTGAAGAGAAGGTGGATAGCCTCAGATCGACTCTCTACACATCCCAGACTATCATGCAGCCTGTTGGATTCACCGGGGAAAAGCGCTGAATGATCTCCCCACGATGGCAAAGCAACCTGCTGCCATCTCCCAGCCTTTTGGCACGCACTGATTGCCTCAGATGTCTACTTTGCAGTGACATGGGGCAACAAATGGCAACAAGTATCGTGAAGGATGCACTGTGAGGCATTGTGGTACTCTTCTTTTTGAAACATAGCAGGTTCAGGACTCCCACGCAAAATTGCTCATGGGCACCATAAGGACGAGGATTTGAAAGCTCATGGTATGGAGCAACCACCAAAGGTGCAAGATTAGCCGTCTCCAGTCACTCAGGCGAAGCCGACATTCCGGCATCAGCCTCTCCAATTCTCGCAAACAAATTCATCCACAGCGGCCGCGTTGTAGGAGATGACGTTCCCCCGAGAACGACACCTTGGAGTGAGGCTCAGGGGATGCTTCTATTCCTGATTTAACAAGCCGGGGGGAGAAATTGAACCGAGTTTAATCTGTTTGCTGTCAGGTACAGCAGTCTCTTGCTTTGTCTTACTGCTTGCTTATCCATACATCATCACCCAGTCTTCTGCTGGATTTCAAGTTACCAATTCAATAGCGGGGAACATTCTATCATCAAAGCATTCCAAAATTGCACGATCTTCAGTCATCCAAGTTTCATAGTTCGATATTCTTCGTTGATTGTTCCTCCAAAAACGTATTTAACACATATTAACACATCTATGGAACTGTGTACATGTCTATTAGCCGGTCAGCTGGATCCAAGTTTAATTCGTGGTGCGGATACTTCGTCCGTGGCACCTCTGCATCTCCTTGAGAATGAAAAGTGCCTCCTTCCAACCTGCACCATGGAATGTCTGGGGTGCTGGCGTGCGCCACAGCAAATTCTCTGATGGAACTGCGAATAGACATCCTGAAGCACCTGCTCCTCCCAAAGTCGCACCCCTATTTCAAACATATGCTCTACAGGCCTGCCCATGATAAATGACTGACCTGAAGTTTTATCATGCAAACTCTAAACCCTGGACTCTAGAACGATCCCTGACATTGGAAGGTCTTACTAAGTGGCTCCCACCCCACAAGCCAACCGATGCGACAAATTTGCAATGAGAAACTAAACATATGTTCGCTCCCTACCCGGAAAAAACAAATATCACCATAAACAAATGACAGTTCTCCACTTTCTCTTGTGGAGCAAATTCCATCAACCAGGTCGGTACCCACAAGCACCGATACTTCAAGACCAGCAACGGCCACTCTTCTCACAGGCGCTGATGGCTGCGCTATAGCTTATTACCTTGCTGTTCAAATTGCATTGGCAATGCGGCCCACTCAAACAACGCGATTTGCACACGGAATTGGAACCAAAACACGCCCTGTGAGCTTTCAGGCCTGTGCTTTGTTGAGTTTGGACCATTCCGAAAGTCCAACCAATATCTTATCACAAGGACATATCACATATCGCAAAATCCTGAGACTCGAGAACCCAGCCTGGAAATACCTGGGAAGGTCTAAGCCTAGTCTCATCTGATGTGGGCAATCACGTCCTACTTGGATTTCCTACGATCGGCCTTGAGGACGATGACCTGCGGAGTGCTCGCTGACTTCAGCGAGCAGACTGAACAGGTCATGTCACGTCAAGCTGTAAGACTTGCTCCAAAGACAGCTGCAGCCATTGCAGCGCTTGTTGCCATTGCCCGGCCTTTTCAAAGGCACTGAGGGCACTGTTGTAGGTGACAAGGTTACCTGACAAAATGGAGTTTGCGGACTTCATAGCTGTAAATCTGGAAGAGACTTGAGGAACATTGAACGGGGAGAGACCAAGCTGGCCAAGCTGCCTTTCTCTTTTTGCGACCTACATCTGGACTGTCCAAAATGCATCAAAGTACCTGGTTACTGATACCCAACAACACATTTCCAGGCATGTTGTACAACCAGCCTCATACACACCTGGCCTGATGCAGGTTTTAGGCGACTTACTATCACTTGTAAAACGTTATGTAGTTTTAAAACGTTATGTAGTTTACGATCACTCCCAACTGAAATGTGACCTTTCTCAAACCATCTACAAACCATCTATAATATGTTCTATGATGGCATTGACATTTCTGGAAGGCATTGGCATAGGTGTCTCTCTTTCAGCTCCAAGCATGAGACTGTGCAGCAAGAATGTCATGTAGAAAAGAATTGACAACTATGGACTATGAACTATGATTACACCTCAGCGAAAGGAACAAGGGTATAAAAACACTTACCTGATCTTGCCTGTTCAGATCTATTCCATTTCAACGTGCCTTGAATTCTATCGGTTTGCATTTCCTCGAGAAAAGCGAGCGCATGTTGCCACTGCCCACTGTTCCCACAGGCACTGACCACAGCGCCCCTTGGTTGAGTCCACATCTCCAACGTCAATAGATAGTAAAATGATGTAAAATGATCTATATATAGTCTATAGATCCCCCTGTGAGTTAGCCAGGTGAGGTGGTGTTAAGTATTCTGTAGTTACAAATCAAAAAAGTTGTTCCCAAAGGCCTACAGAATCACAAACTCGTGATCCAAAGTCAAAAACAGAGTCTCTACAAAATGCCCACGCACAAGGGCATTTTGGACAGGGACACTCTCTACAAAATGAGGTTCTGGAAGGGGATAGATACAGCATGAGAGAAACAGTGGTTCCAAAAATGGAGAAACTGCAGATCATGCATTCTGTAGAGGGTACCACTTTTGCAAGTCAGGTAGGGTGCAAATTGGCAAATATTCATTGTATCCTTCTTTTTTGATTATTTATTTTCTTCAATTCTATATTATGGCTTTCAGATCAGTCTGTTTGTTCACCATCCGACATCCCTCATAATTCCCCCTGCCAGCTAGGTGGGAACAACTTTCTCTACAAGATGCCAGTTGTTCTACAAGATGCAAACCGGCCAGGCTAAAACCACCTCCAATGCAAATGACCGTGTTTCTCTACAGAATCACAAACCTGCAAATCGGCATCTTCCAGTGTCTCCTCTACAAAATGCCAAACCTGGGAAGGTAAGACAAGTTTCTCTATTAAAAAAATACTATACCGGCACAGACCCCAGATAGCACTTCAAGAAAAGTTGGATGCATGGCAAGAGCGGGAGACAAGCTTGGGAGACATTCCACTCAAAGCCGGGAAAAGGATGGAAAAGGTAACAAGACCTAAATCATCTTATAACAGCATCCGCGTCAAAGGCAGGCAAGAAAATGACAAGGCGGCAGCGGCAGCCAAGAGCGAAATCAGGAACAGAGACAAAGCTTGGGAACCACGGCGGCAGCGGCAGCCAAGAGCGAAATCATGAAGGGAGACAAGCTTGGGAGACCAGGCAGCAGCGGCAGCCAAGAGCAAAGTTATGAAGGGAGACAAGCTTGAGAAGGAAACAAGACGGCAGCGGCAGCCAAGAGCAAAATCATGAAGGGAGACAAGCTTGAGAGACAAGGCGGCAGCGGCAGCCAAAAGCAAAATCATGAAGGGAGACAAGCTTGGGAGACAAGCTGGCAGCGACAGCCAAGAGCGAAATCATGAAGGGAGACAAACTTCACAGACAAGGCGGCAGCGGCAGCCAAGAGCGAAATCATGAAGGGAGACAAGCTTCACAGACAAGGCAGCAGCGGCAGCCA